AGCCACCGAGGCCCGAGGCTGCTGTTCAGGCAGCTCAGGGTGTGGGGCCTGCTGCTGCTGGTGATGGGAAATGCTACTGTCCACCGACTTCCTGAGGCCACAGCAACCTGGGCCTGGCTGAGGCCTAGCAGGGCCCCCAAGGGAGCTGGTTCATTCCCTGTCCTCCTTTTCTTGGGAACTGTTTACATTCCAGACACTCAGCTATCTACCCTGGGCTTTTCCAGGCTCTGCATTTTTTACATAGCTGAGCAGGGGACCTGGGCTGGTCTGGGGCTCCTGCTAGGTCCCTGCTGCCTTCCAGCTGTCCCAACCAGGTATGGCCCTTCACAGGGCAAAGAGCCAGGCCGAGGGCCCCCCATACTTTGGGCTCTAGATGTTCCCAAAATAGGTACTCACTGGAACATTTCTTCCTGGCCTGACCCCAGAGTGAGCCACCATCCGTGAACCACTGGGTTAGACAGGCAGGGAGGAAGGCTGCAACAGAGTTTGCTGAGCTGTCGTGCCAGCTGTCTCCAAGCACTTGGCACTTTCTGGTGCTTTGAGGCCTGACAGGGCTGCAAAGAAAAGCCAGGAGGGGTGCCCTGGGCCTAAACGAGGCTGCCTTATTGGTGCAAGCTTTCTCTGTAGGGCAGACAACCCCAAAGTCTCTCCAGCCACTGCTGGGCATTGTACTCTGTTCTCATTGAGTTCTGCAAAGGCCGCTCCCCCGGGGTGGGAGGTGGGGTTGGACTGGGGTAGCCGGCTAAGAGACAGTAAAGAATCAAAGGGCTTGAAGATGGTTTGTCCATTTAAATCTATATTGTTTACACCATGCCTTTTAAACCTAGAACTCCTTTCCTGGGACACCTGCGTCAGGATAGGCAGAGTTTCAGGTAAAGACAGGAGTCTAAAAACGGTCGTCAGTACAGTCAGCAAGAGCGACAGCTCTGAAAACAAAGTAAGCATTCCGTAAGAGGTTCCGGGAGTTAGGGCCCCCATTAGGAAACGCTCTTCAGCCATTCCAGAGTTAGCAGGGGCCAGGTGGTGGCGGTGGTAAACCACAGTGCTTTACAAGGCAGCCCCACATGGGAAGGTCCCCTGTTCTAGTGCAGAGACCTCCCTGAGTGGGCCAGCACCCATCTGCATGGCTCAGAGCTGCTGAAGGCTGAGGTCAGGTCCTGGTATTGAGACCCGGCTGAGGATACTGCCTCCACCTTTCTCTTTCTTGCTTATGGAGAGAAATAAATAAACCTTAAAAAAATCATTTGAGAAGGCCATTAGGTGGTGGTTATGGTGCTGGATTCCCACATGACCTACCGCTCTTTTTTACCTGGTGGCTTGAAAATCTTGCCAGGCGCGTGTGCGTGCGTGCCCAAAATCCCAGGAGGAGAATGGAGGAGAAGGAACTGTGGACTGGCCATCCCCCAGGGGGTGATTTCTTACCTTCACTCTCACTGTCTCTGGCAAGCGCAAGCTCCCCATGGCAGAAATTCCACAAACACACCAAAAAATCATTTTAGAACTTTAACAACTAATTTTCTTTAATTTTAAAATTTAAGGCCTGACAGTGGCACGGTAGTTGGAGCAGCTAGATCGAACGTGGCTGGCCTTGTGGTTTCAGCTCTATAGGACTCAGCTGCCTTAACCACCAGGACACAGCTGGCCTAACAACTGAAGAGTTTTTGGTTTTTCTTCCAAAGAATGATTCATTTTATTTATCATTATTATAATTTTAAAATTTTGCTACAGGGCACATGTGCTCACCAGAGAGAGACACACACACAGAGAGAGAGCGAGAGAGAGAGAGAGAGAGAGCAAGAAAGTGAAAAAACAAGACACCAGGTACAGGATTCAAACCGTGGTTGGCCATGTGTAAGTCTAGTGCGTCAACCATCACGCTGCCTGCTGGCCTCACACCTGAACGGTCAGTGGAAAAAGAAGGTACAGAGCTATATACACACACAAACGTGCACACACGTCCCTGTGGTGTGAGCCTGGTTCCAGCTGTGTGTTCTAGCACAGACCCACACGCGTGCATCTGCAGAAAAGCCTCAAGGGCACACACTGAGCTGCTGATAAGGGCTGTGGGGGTATGGGTACCTCTTCTTTTCTTTTGTGATTTGCCATAGAGCATGCACGCTCTCTAGAAGAGGGGTGCCCCAATCCTCCATCTCTTCCCTCCTTTCAGGGTTCTGGGCACACATGCCTGGTGTATTTCTCAAGCAGCAGAGTCCAGAGCTCGAATGACACAGCTGACCATGTAGTGTCCAGCTGCCTTAACCACCATGCCCCCAGCTGGCCCTGTTGCTCTTTTCTTTTCTTTGTTTTTGTTTTTTTGTTTTGTTTTGTTTTTTGAGAGATTTTTGCCTTAGGACACATGTAAACTCCGGAGAGAGAGAGACAGAGACAGTGAGAGGGAAAGTGAGAAATCACTTCCCAGGGAGGATGACCATGCCACAATCCCTTCTCCGTTCTCCTCCCAGAATTTTGGGCATGCACACACACATCCCGCATGATTTTTAAACCACAAAGTCTAAGACTCGAACTGCGTTCAGCCATGTGAGAGTCCAGCAACATAACCACTATGCCATCTGCTGGTCCTCCCTTAAAAAAAAAAAAATAAAGGGGGCCGGCAGGTGGCGTGGTGGTTAAAGGTCCTGAATTCCCACATGGCCAACTATGGTTCGAGTCGCAGACCTGGCAGCTAGCTTTCTTGTTTTCCCTTTCTCTTTCTCTCTTTCTGTCTGTTCAAATAAAAAATAAATGAAAACCCCCAAACTCCCTTGTACTTTCAAAGTTTTCTCCGCATGTATGTATTACTGGTGTAGTAAGAAATGAACAAGACACACATGTCTGAAATACTCTGGGAAGGTGGTTGAGGAGCGCTCAGTGACAAGGCCTTGAGATCGAGCAGACACGGGGTTAGGGACGCCGTGGCCAGCCCCTGACGCGGGAGTGCTGGGTGATCAGACCCAACCCCCACGCTGGCACTTGGCCTGTGCTCATCAATCAGAGACGTAGGGGCCGCATGTGGCGTGGTGGTTAAGGGCCCTGGGCTCCTACATGGCCGACCACAGCTCGAATCCTGGGCCTGTCGGCTTGCTGTCTCACGTTCCTCGCTCGTTCTCTCGCTCTGTCCCTCTCGCTCTTGTTCTAGTCCTCTCTAGTCAAATTAAAATAAATAAATAAATTATTAAAAAAGAAAGAAAGAATTAGAGGCGTAGACATAGGAGAGTAAAGGGGAATTTATTGTGGAAGGGGCCTGAATGGGCTGGCGAAGAAGAGCTGGAGGCCGGGGGTTTTTATCTCCCAGTTGGAGCAAAGGACTGGCTCTCTGATAAGGAAGTGGGCTTTCGAAAATGGTTACATGGTAGTCTGAGTGATTCCTTACCCTGTTCTCTGTGTGGTTCTTGTTAGAACACAGTAACTGAGTAGATACTGTTGCCCTCAGCTACAGCTACTGTGAGTCTCAATGCAGCCTGCTTCCGGCTGTGACGACTTAGCCACTGAGACTCCATCTTGGGTATCTGCCCTGCCTATGTGCTCAGTATCCTATCTCCTGCATTATTAGTAAGGGGCCATACACTCTTTTCTTTTAAAAAGTAATTATTTTATTTAACCATATTTATTTACGTATTTTTAATTTGACCAAAGAGGGACAGAGCAAAAGAGAGAGAGAAGGAAAGTGAGAAAGCAAGCTGCCAGGTCTAGGACTTGAACCACAGTCAGCCATGTGAGAACCCAGTGCCCTTAACCACCACACCCCTACATTCTTTAGAGACATGTAAAAGGGGTGTATGTTGTACAAGAACCAGACCATAGAGAAAAAACAGTGACTTGCTTTTGAGCCCTTGCCCGATCTGCCCACCTGTAAGTGGGTCTAAGTCCTGTCTCAGTCAGTCAGGCAAGGTCTCTGTGGTGTCCTAAGGGACCAGCGTCTCCACTATACCAGCCCCCTCCCCTTTCACCTCCCATAAGTAACCGCAACCCCCACAGGAAGGCTGGGACGGTTGGGTTGCCTGGAATACTTGAACCAGAAGTGCCCAGGCAGAGTTCCTGGAGAGTGTCAAATGGCCGGCTTGATGTCTGGGACAGGGAACTACAGGGACAGCCTTGTGGCCCAGAACAGGCTCAGAAATGGGTGGAAGGTGGGGCCCAGGTGTCTGGCAGGATCCTGAAAGGGCCTGTACTCCTCTTTCCTGCTG